TTTTCCTCATTCTTCTTGTTTTAAGTATTGAAATGAAGGGTTTTTTGAATGTGTTTTTGGGAGAGAGGGATTCTGTGCTCCCATGGCTATTAGCAGGGACAGAGCACAAATTAATAATTGCAGATCTTCAGTTTATTGTGGGRTGGTGTTATTTTCATTACTTTCCTATTACCATCTAGTTATTCTATATATGTTTTAATGGACTTATGGCAGTTAATATTTTGAGAAGTACATCCTGTTCTTTGAGTAGTCTCTCAAAAACATTCACAGTAATTTCCTAGGTTTTCTCCTTAGAAAGAAGTGAAATGATGTGTGCCTGTTTGTGTGTTTGTATAAAAGGAAGATAATTCAATACTTGTACCGGCTGAGCTCAAGGAATTGAGAACAGCCTAAAGCTCACATCCTCATTTTCATCCTAATCAATGTGCTTCTAACACATGTCCTCTAACTGATGAAACTCTGAATGGAACCTCATCTGCCCTGCAGACTAGCAAAATTCAAGCTTCTGCTTTAAAGAAGCCATGAAAATTATTTGCTTGGAAAGCCAAGGAATCTCAAGTAAAAGGCACTGTGCTTAAACCAGAGTATACCAGATATCTGAATTGCCAAAGAACAAAATCCCACAACCCTACAGAAASAGCAAACTCTAGGTAGGGTGCTTGGTGCTCTCCATCATTTTGCTGGACTAAGCAGGGAAATGTGGCTGGGTGATGGTACACAGGGAATCCTGACACCAAATCTGTCTCTAGTGATCCTTGGAATGGTTCTCTTGTAAACCCTTGGGATGGATCACAAATGGGAATTGCTGGGGATTCTCTAACTGTTAAAGCAATGGTGAAAAAGCTTGGAGAAAGGAAGCTGACTCMAGTAGTACTCTATTTGCTCTAATTACCATTATTTCTAAAGCACTTTTAATTGGAGATGTGAAGCCAGAACCARCAGCAACTCAAGTTCGCACATATAAACACACACAGATATAAGACCAAATCATGGTTTTTGTTTGTTATTTACACAGTCAATCCTAAAACAGCATTGAAAGTGTAAAACAATGCCCTGGGGAGCAATAGGAAACTCAAGCTCTCACTACAAGAATTATGAGACTCTGCCACAGCAGATCTCATACAGAGAGGTGCTACCATGAGCTGAGCTCTGGGGCACCCCAGGCTGCAAATTTGAGAGTCCTGATTTTGCATTTTCTGACCTGGCATTTGTCTGGAGCAAGGAGCAATATCCARAAGCCAATTTACTGGTGTCAAAGCAGTGTAGGTGTAAGTTTAGAGGAACTCTATGAAAGATACAAATTCATGGATGGGCTTCAGGTAAAAAGAACTTCAGGAGTTTATGTTGTCTTCTTCTGGTGCCACAGAGTTGTTTTAGGTGAAAATGGTGGAATATTAAAGCTGATAAATTGTTGATCTGAAATGTAAGACTAGAGAAGTGTAAGACTGGTAAATTATTCAGTAAGTTTTCCCGGTAAAGCAGTGCTTGTTTCTAAAACACTTTCATTTCTACTCTCCAATCCAGACTAATTTTGATGTCCACTGCTTCCTAARGGTTATTATTTGCAGCCTGCCACAGTCTCTCCAGGAAGAAAAAAGTATTTTTGTGGTCAAAGCACAAGACTGGGGCTCAAGAGGTGTAATTTTTGTTTCCTGASTCTGCATTAGGTTTTGTGACTGAACTCAGAAGCATGCTGCTGAACAGGAAACATGGAGTTGTCTTGCCTTCTTCTCACCTACATTTCAATTTCTTTAATCAGAACTTACCTCTTTCTTTTATATTTAGCTGCCTTTTTTTTTCTCTCTCTCTTTTTTTCCTCTTTTTTTTGTTTTTAAAAAAAATTTGTTCAATTGGCAATAAAGTGTATTAACAAAACATTTTGCACAAAAAATTAACATTTGAGAAGCATTTTAAAGCAGGAATTATTTTTTTTTTTTTTTTATAATCAGCCCTCAATAGTGGCCATTCTCTGCTTGCAAAGCAGACAATACTGGTTTCCTACAAGTACTAGAGAAAATAATTTTCTCTACTTTCATCTTTGGTCTTGCCATAGGTTCTGCAGTTTAAAAGTGCAAGACCAATATCATTAGCCTAGAAAAACTGACCCTTTCACTGTGAATGTGATTCTGCAGGCAGCAAAGGCTTTTTGTGTGGCAGAAATTCTGTTTCCACAGTGCCAGATTTTCTCCCTGAGGTGCTTATTTTCTTTTCTGCACACTCACTTTTGATGTTACTTTCTGCTAAGAAGCAACTGAGTTTTATGAGCAGATTGTACAGTAAAGCCCARCTCAGCTTTATGGGAGCTCAGGTTTGAGGGGAGGTTTGCATGGGAGTCATTTCTTGAACTAAAATTGGTGGTTGGGTGTGAAAAGGCATTCTCTTCTTCTAGAGAAAAAAACAGAATTAAGGCACATGGGCACAACTGGAATTGTTTTAAAATTTTATGTGTGGAGGTCTGTCTGTTTAATGCTGACGGTTAAAATTGTTTAATACTGCTGTGATCTTTCAGCTTGAACTATATTTGAGCATCTACTGCATGCATTTACAGTGGAGCTCTGTACTCTGTGTAGTGCTGAACCAACAATATGTTAGACTGATGGTTTCAAAGGAGTTTATACATCCACTGGCTAGAACTTTATAAAAAAAGATCCATTGTTTCAAAACAAAGAGAACCATTTCTCAAGACATGTCTACAAATCAGCTGTTTGTTTTATGGGGCTGGGTTGCAATGGGTAAGTTGTGACTCTGAGAAACACATTAATAAATCTTGGGCACAGAAAACCTTGGGAAAAGCAAAGATAAAATTTGTCTGCTTACCTAAAGAGTTTTTGTTGTTTTTTATTTTCTTTTTTAATCTGGTTCCATCTGATAAGCTCTTAAATGAACAGAAGTAGTGAAGTTGTGTCAGAACAGGAGTAGAATTTTTTATCTACCAGTGAWTACCAGATTAATTAATATGTGGTGTGTTGTCTCCAATATTTCCTTTAAAGTACTAAATAAAGGAGAGCAACCAGGATATTCAGATTCCCCMCAGGAAAGAGGACAAGGACTGCTTTTAAAACAAAAGTTGCCATTGGTTATATGGGATCAGTACTCCTGGAAAATTCTTCTGAAGATACTTTACCATGAAATGCAGTRGGTGAAAACCTTGCAGGCACATACTGATATGGCCAGTCAGGTCTCAGCAGATGGTATTCTAATGCTGTATCCAAAAAATACAGCATAAATGTTGTGTTGACAGGAACACAGAAATGTACAGAATAAGAGCCACAATGAAATACATTCACATTTATAACCTGAGACATAATCTGATAGACTGTGAAAGAGCAAATGCTTTTGAGAGTTATTGAAGGAAAACACTATTAGCTTAAATTTCCACCCCTCTTTGAAGTCAGTACCGTTAGGCCAACGCTGGGGATTCGTATAAATTACATTTTCAAATTTGATATAGAATATTAGCTTTCATGGTGAGATTTGATCCGTTGGTTGCCTTCAGTCTGGATTGTCAACGCTTGCGAGTGTGGGCTGGCGCTGACACTGCCTGCTGTCAACAGCCCCACTCCATCCCCTCCTGCAGCTTTCTGCCTTCAGCCTGGCATGGCAGAAACACTTTATTGATTGTGCATTGGGAAACTCAGTCTGGTTAAATGAATATGTCCTCGCACAGAACAAGTGGTAGTTGAAGGTGAGAGTAGCTAAGCTGGTGCTAGCAGWGAAAGATGTAGGAAAAGTGGAAGCAAAGTCTGACTGTTCAAACAGGACCAGGTTTCTTATAACTCTTATGGGAACATTGGCGAAAAACTACTTAGGAGAATGGTGCCCTGTCCATTTCTTTACATTTTTAAATGAGACAAGATTCCTTTTAGAAGGTATGTTGTAATGCACAATTTTCTCATCAATATTTGGGTGTGAGGATGAAATCTAGGGGACTGTCATGTACAGAGAATGTTACAAACCTTTATAGCCTTATTGTCTGAAGTCTTTAAATGCATTGTCCATCTTGGCACTGGTCGTTATGGCAGAATCTCCTGTGAAGAGCAGTTTCAACAAATTTGCAAGAAATAAAACATTAAAATGGGTGCATAAGAGGAGTTTCTACAAATGCCTTATCATGAACCTCTAAAATGCTTATAATATTTGAGAGTTCCATGTATAAAAGCAGAAGGAAAAGACCAGACCACACTCAGTCAGATAGTGTAAATAACAATTAAAATATATTCAGGTAGGAACTAATTTTTGTAATCCTGTAGTTGGTTCTTGTACATGAAAGTTCACCAAATGAAGTCTGTTTTGTAAAGAGCTCTCAGGCTTTTTTAGGTGTTCTTGAAATCACTCTGTCAACACCGTAACCATAGATTTTTGTGTAGTTTGTGTCATGAAAACTGAACCAGAAATTTAATCCTTTTCAATTGGCTATGTGAGCGGAACAGGCTCTGCAGCTCTGCCTGGTGTGCTCTGAGTATTCAGGCTCCCTGAAAATCYTGCTTCAAACAGTGGGAGCAGGAAATTCCTGGATTTTTTTGAAGGTGTTCCCTTGAAGGCTGTCTACATGTTCAACAYTCAGCGTTCTCTGTGCACAAAGCACTGCTACTCACATAATGTCACTTCTCTAGTTAYTAGTTTTGCCCCATCTCTCTTTCCATGCTCTTCATTCATCCCCGGCTGAGTGAAGCAAGAAAATATAACMATTAAAAAGGGATCATAATACTGAAATTCTGGGAAATGCATGCCAGAATTAATAATTTTTATTTTTGCAGGACAGGAGTCTTTAAGGACTGTGTGATCTGCAGCATASAAACCCCTTTGTTTTTTTGCTGCAGCATTTGACCAGATTTGTTCAAATCTGAACATTTCATTGAACCTCTGAGCAATGTTTTATTTAGAATTGTAGACTGCAAACATRATGTTATTAAATAGCAGATTTGCCATTTTTTCAGGGTATTTGTGAGAGGATTTGGGGTGGTGTTTATGATCTGGTTTGTTCTTGGTGGCTGTTGCAGGTAATGGCAAGCACGTGCAGTGGCTGCGAGGGAAGGACGGTGAGGTCTGGGTCTGGGTGATGGGAGAAGCCCCGGGGGACAAACCCTACGAGCAGATCTCCGAGGAGCTCATAGCAGAGCGAGCCAGGCAGCAGGCACAGAAGGAGGCAGAAGAACTATGGTGAGGATTTAAGAATCTCAGTTCAGGGTCCACTGGGAATAACAGGAGGTGTGCCCTTGAAGGAGGGTGGTAGGTAATGGTGGGTGAAACTGGTGAGTATGTTTTGTGAACATTTGCTTTCTCTTGTTTTGTCAGTTTTTCAGCACATTAAAAACGTTTTTGTTGCATATTGAAAACCAAAAACCCTCTTCCACAAAAAAAGTGGAGCCAACTTTTTTCTCTTCTGGGACTTAAGCTAAACTGTTGACAAGCCTGCAAATAAAGAAAAATGAAGCGGTCTGGTTTTGAGATGATTAAATTAAATATGTTAGTTATATCACAGTTCTGGGCCCACWATGGGGATTTGGTACATAAAATCCTTTCTGAAATTGGTTTTATTTGCATTTTGCTTGTATTAATTCTTATTCCAGCAGTTCAAAAACTGATTATACAATGTGCCACACTGCTGTTTTTAGCCGGGCCTTTTCCAACTTTGGGGGAGATTCAAAAGTGTTTTGATGCTTGATATTTTTAGGAATTAGGCCACCTGCCTCACATGCTCCCCTTTGTAGTGCAGCACTGAAAAGTGACAGTTTAAATACCAGGTTATTCTGTGTTATCCCTTTTCATAGGAGATTGTTCTTGCTTCAAGTGATTGCATATTTAAACAGGGATTAAAACCTTCAACTTGTGCTCTGAATTCCTTTTGCATTGTCAGTACTRATAAACAATCTAGCATAAGAATTTGGGAGACATTTGTACTGGTATTTGAAAGACAATAAATTCCCAATCACACTTTGCTAGACAGATAGAAAAATATAAGGTGTGCCTTAAAGACATCCAAGAAGTACTTGTCTAACTTAGAAGGTGCTATTTTAATTAGTAATTTATCAAAAATTGTAARCTGTCCATTTTCTGGATACTTTCTTTGAGCACCATTTGCCATAGGTCTAGGTCTCTTGTTAAATGCATTTTAATTCTTTGCTTGCATCTTTCCATGAAATCTTATTTATTTGTTGCAACCAGTGAGTAAGTATYGATACTCAATTTAAGAAAAATCAGTGCCTTAACTTTTTATTTTCACATCTTTTTCCAAAGGAGACAAAAGGAAGCTGAAATTACAAAGAAATTTCGTGATGCTATGGCTCAAGAAAAAGCCAGAATAGTGGCAGAAAAATGGAAAATAGAAATGGAGGATCGGAAAGCAGCCAAATTGGAGGAAGAAAAAATTCAGGAGGAACTGAAGGTTTGCATAGAGTAATTTAGTTTTCTTAATAGTGTTTTAATATGTATTCACAGTTCTTGTCACCTTCAGTGCATGTTTATTAATAAGCTTTAAAATCCAGAGTTGTAATTTTTCGTTCTGGAATATACAGATAGCTACATGGTGTTCACCAGAACAGCTGGGTGAGTGATGAGAAAAAATTACAGGTCTCATTCAGAAGTGCCAGAACAATCAAAGTGGTTATTCAGCTCACACATTAAACAGAATTGTTCAGTCAGCTGTGCTGGGTGAATCATACTGGGGAAAAAAATGTACAATTGGGAAAGATCCCATTTTGAATTTGCTTGAACTTATTCTGTGTATTTTGGATGCTTTTGTTCACATACTGAACTTGAAAATTGTGTCACTACTTCCTTCAAAATAATAARGGATGGATCCTTCCCCTACTCAACATATGGGAAAAGTCCAGTTGGCTTTGCTGGGAGAAGTTAATTTGCCTGATTTTTATTGAGTTCATAATGAACTTTCCATGAACTCAGTTACGATAYTGCAATGTTTGTTTGAAATAATATTTTTCTCACATTTTCCAGTTGAAAATAGCAATTTAAAAACTAAATAGGAAAAGCTTCTGCCCACCCTTTTCATTTTACTCGATAAAGATGAAAACTTGTTYGAAAATGAGACAGTAAAATATAATTCAGTGTGCAGGGAAGTTATCGCAGTCCTCTGAGCCTAGGGTGTGTGTGCTGGGACTGCACACGATTGGTGAGGCTGAGTTTCCATGGAGAAAGCCTGGAGAAAATACCACTCCTAGGACCCAGTATCTTCCATCCATCGCCTCTGCTCTGCTGACGGCGTGCGGTGTCTCTTTCTCCTCTCCTGGTGCAGTGATTGGAGGTGTGGAAAGCAGGGTTAGACTCTGCCCTTGTCCCTGTGTGACAGGAGGAATGCTGAGAGCCCAGTGCTCAGTTTATGAGGTTTGATTGCAAACAGCAAATTCCTTCTGACTCTGCAGCTGCGGGCCTGGCGTCTGAGGTGGTTGTGCAGCACAAATCCAGGGCGGCTCCTGCAGCCTCCTCAGCACAGAGCTGCTGATTTACCTTTGCACAATTAATTTGAATTCACAGGAGACAATGGAGCCTTTGAAATTCGATGTCAATGAGTAATGAAACTATACCTTTCAAGTGCTCTATTAATGTATGAATAATGAGCAGAGCAACTAATTAAACACTCTTTCCTCTGCTCTCCGGAAAGCAAAGCCCTCTCGAACAAAGGCCAATGCAGTGTTCGCTTACATCTCTGGCTGATTTACAGGGCACTTGGTGGGGTAAATGTCCACAAGCTCTCTGCTCCTGTTCTGTTTCAAAGAGACTTTCAAAAAGCACAGTGAGCTACTTCTGAGACTTTTAATGCCCAGTRTTCATAGTTCTGTATTAAGGAAAACTGGCTGTTCAGTTGTCGATGYAATTTAAAGGAATGGCACCAAATTCTGCTCATTTTCATGTTGATAGAAAGGTAATGTCACAGTGAGCTGTGTTTCCACTGCTTCCCAGGACATGAGCAGGTGTCTTCCACCCAGTTGTGTGCCTGGTAGGAGCAAGGAACGCTGCTGTAAGTGGGATGAGAACATGGTCCAGTTTCTACTTTGAATTTCAAATACTTCACTTTGATTTCTTTATCTCTGTTCATAAAGTTGCCAATGTTTTTATTCGGAATGATCAAGAATTCCCAATGGTTTCCCTTAAGCATTTGAAGACAGGATTTGCAAAAATTTAAATAAATGGACCAAAAGTTTTAAAACAAGACCCAGCAGAAAGGAACTCTTTGGCTTAAAGAATTAATTTGGAAACAAGATATTATGCAGTGATTGTTTTTTTAAATGCCCTTTKTTGAGTGTTCTCCCAGCATTTCCTGTGTTAATCCAACAACAGAGTCTAATTCCACTTTCAGCCTTGGCTTTCCAATGAGGTCTATAATTTGAGATCTGTCAGGAGAGTTTTGGACTGGCACAGAGTTCCAGCAGCAGASATCAGGAAAAGCAGCTTATCTGTTACTTGTCTTGAACGATCAGATCTTGCACATTGTGCTGTAGGACTGCTTCAGGACAAGGAAGGCATTTCAAAGATAGGTGTATCTCTCAGGCTAATATGGGGGAGTTGGTAACTGCTGTCCACTTTAAACCTTTAAAATATTTAATGCACTGGTAATCATCCTTCTGTGATGATTACCAGACCATGTTTGAAGAGGTCTCCAGACTGGGGTATACAAAGTTCAGGCTCTACTAATGCTTCATGTTCTTGAAGCAGTTTGACATGGGAAATTGAAACTCTCTCCTTTCTGCTGACATGTTTAATTTCTAACCATATTGTATCACAAACACTCCTTTTAAGATGCTTTTATTCCTCTTGACCTATCACAGGGTGTTAGGGCTGTCTGTGCTGGATAAATGGTATCTCACATATCAACGTGAATGATGATCCCTATTTCCTTTTCCAGCACTATTAGGAAAGTATTGCTTTCCTTGGTGTTTCTTAAGCAGAAATGCCTTTAATTTATGATGCTAGAATATAAACGTTGACTACTCCATTTTTGCAGTTTAAGGACAGCTATTCTTCTATGYACCTATTGCAAAGGGGAAATAAGAGAGCCAATTACAATCATTAATCTTTTTACTAATTCACAAAAGCTCTGCAATCATAAGGCATCATTTTCATTCATTTTCTATCAGCAGCTGTCCTTAAGAGACAGAACAAAGGCTCTGCCTTGCAGAGCTAAGGGAAATGAAAGGTGTGAGTGTCATCCAGCCAGGGGTGGGGATCCTTCAGCAACGTTCAGGAATACAAGAGATTTCACTCTTCATGTGGTCCATAAAGCAAGGGAATATTAATAGTAAAGTACTGTCCTKATGACAACATCAGATACCTGCCACATTTAATAATATAAGCACAGTTGACAGCAGAGTTAGATTGCTTCTTAAAAATTCCCTGGGAGAGGAAATGTGTCCCATCAAAGAAGACAGGTTGAGAATCAGCCTTCAGAGAACAGAATAATTAGTGCTTCAGTTCAGGAAATATCTAATTAAACTTACACTTAATAGAAAGAATACACTTTTTATTGAACTTGGATGAGCTTTCAATACGTGTCTGAGTGCTTCACTGTGCCCCAAAGTGCTGTGGACCTGATTCTTCAGACAATTGCTGCCAGATGTAGAGTTTAGGAATACAGTGAGATGTCACCATTGCCACTCRAAGTACTGTGGGCTTCGTATGGAACAGCAGTGAGCATTCTGTCTTGATCTGRAAAAAACTCTTGTCTCCAAGTAAACGTCAAGCACTTGAGTGGGACTGTTATCTCTAAGTGCAAATAAGCTGTAAGTTCATCTCTGTGCTTTGCTSTGCCAAGAAAACATTGAACTCTTTCCCAAAGGCAGCATATTTAGAATCTAGGGATATGACAGCAGCTTCTTGCTGGGGTTTGGCACCAAGTTAATTCTGAAAATGCCTTAGTTGAGTTATTTCAATGGCAATTACAATAATTCAGTAATACTTCATTTTGTTTTGTTTTGTGTAATTATAGTTCAGTAATTCTTTTTTTCTTACGTAGTTGCATCTTGAACAATGTTGGAAATGAAGCAGCTGTTAATTTTGGTTGGGAATTAGATCTTCAGGTATTCTCTATCCTACTTGTAACTGTGATATTAATTTTAAAGAAAAATCTCTTCCTCAGGGACATGGGTAATGATTGTGATACTGAAGCCACTACCTTTATTCTGAACTGCTGGTACAAACCAGCAATGCTCAGGTGTTTGCCATGGGTAAATGGGAAAATAATCCCTCTGAAAACCTTTCCTTTTCTGATACAAGTGAGGGAATTTTCTCAGCCTATAGAAAAGCTGTCAAACGTGGTGAGACACACATAGACATTAACAAGTTTGTGGCAAATTCTCAATTGCCAGAGGATAGATAAGATCATTTAGCATGTTCAKATTCTCCAGTGGAGTTAAATCTGGAGAGGATTACGCTGCCTGTTGAATTGTCAGTGTGATTTGTTTCGGCAGCTTGATATTTCTCAACAATTTGCAGCTCTGTACTGAATTGTCACCTGCTTAATTATTCTGGAAGAGCTAAAGGGACCAGCACAGAGTACAATCTCTCTCAGCTGTCAGGCTGAAGCTGGTGTTTGTAGTTATTACAGCTCTTCACTCCCAGCTGTGAAGTGCAGGATTGGGTTCATGGGAAAAACAGATGAACTGCTTGCTGTGTTCTTCCAGTGGAGTAAATGTGAAAAGTTTAATTGATGTTCATTTTGAATACAAACACACGCTGTTTAGTCATACTTGACAAAAGGGTGAGTGTTCTTTCYTGTGTCATGCTAGCAAGGAGTTGTGTGATGGACCTGCACATCCCTGCAGTAGTTTAATAAATGGAAGTTAAATCTCTTCTTTCCATGAAAAAGGAATATTGTGTGAAAAAGTTTTGGAGAATTCAGAATCAAGTGCCAGTGTTAAATTTTTGCTGTGGTCTCTTCTTTGACTTAAATCTCCTTCTCAGTAAAAAAGGTGGAACTTTCTTCGTTGGCATTGTTGCCTTCCATTAACTCTACCTGAACTCTAGTTTTTGGTATGTGTGTGTGGGCTTTTTGTTTTTCTTAGACACTTTCATCTTTTTACTAGAAATGCCTCAACAACAGCTACATTAAAAAACAAGTCCAAACTTGTAACAAAACTCTTGGGTGATTCGGGGAAACTGCTGCGAGATTGATTTTYCCCCCTTCTCTATTTAAAGTTTTACCTTGTGGTTTAAGACATTGAATAGAAAACATTCTGATAACCCCGGATTGCTTCTGTGTCTGTCCATCTTCCTGCAAGATAGCCTAGACGTATTGAATTTTTTAGGTAGTGAAGCTGAGTGAATAAATATTCTCCTCATAAGAATAAAGAACAGCTGATCTCATATTTTTTTCCAAGAAGAGAATAGAGCCATTTWCTAGCAGCTAAAATGTGCAATCCCYAATTCTATAGAGATATTAAAAAATAATTATTTTTTTTCTGAGGAAGCTACTTGGCTTTGAAATTAGTATTGTCTAAAAACATTGAGTTTTCAAAAATAATGAACTGTCGACTCAGCTCATGTTTTTAGGAGTCAGGAAATAACAATGGAAGGATGATGTCAGAAATAATCCAGGATACTAGCATTAGAATTGACTGAAGAAAAAGGCTAGGCTTTTCTTTCTCACAAATAATAAGAGCAGCCTAAAGTATTGTTCATAGAATCACATAATATTAAAGGTTGGACCCTTAACCTTCACCCTAGAATTTTCATAGGATTAATGTTTGGAATAATCTACTTTGGGCTGCTCTTACTTATAGCTTAAGTCAGGTAACTAGGATAGTAATTCAGGGTGATTTTACTCAGGGATTTATAACAAAATTCTTACCTGTAAGTTTGTTACCCGTGAGGGTATAGTGTTGGTTCCATTGTAAAATTAAATGAAAACTGTTCTTATTTKTAATTCAAGTTATTTCAATAAGATGAATAACACTTAATGATGTTCAGTTTGGGGTTTTTTTGGTGGGCTTCAATTAAACTATATGATTCAAATCTGCTTCTTCACTACCTAAGGGATTTGGGAGCATTCATTAGCAAACWGATAGWGATTCCYCGTTCTGCATTAATTGGGCTCCTGTGTAATTGGTAATATGAGGGAGGCCAGCTGCAGAAGMAATCTTTATATTCAGATTTTAATCTCTTTTAAGGCTTTCTTGGAAGGGAACTTTTTTGGTATGATACATTTAGCTACAKTTTGCAAAGTGACTGTTGAGTGCTGTAGGAGCTGCCTTTTTCTCCAGAATGCAGCGATCTTGATTTTTGGAAAATATTATTCCCTGTGYTGGTTAAGATGACACATTGGGACAGGTGCTAAAGTACAAACAGCAGCAAATCAGTTTGTGAATTCTAAGGTTCTGTGGATGATGTGTTTGGTGCTTGAAGGCAGCAGCATCTTCAATGGGGGTACTTGGGGACTTAAATCAGGCTTTGCTTATGTGCAGTGGGACAGCACAGGTGTTAGTGCCACGTGATAAAATGTTTGATGTGTAGTTTTAAGATCTTAGATATTTACATGTTCCTCAATCCTGTGATACCTGTAGAAGGCACCCTCCTCAGAAATTCCTAAGAGTTAGGAATGATGTTGTGATGGGTGAGAAACCCAAAGTTAGAGACAGGGATTTGCCCAAGGTAATGAAGCTTCTCTGTGACAGGAAGAAACTGAGGCAGCGTCTCAGCTTTTGGCACATTGTTCCTCCTTGGTCACTTCTGGCTTCCTTCATTTTCTCTAGAAAAGAGAAGAAGAGGAAAGACAAAAGGGTGAAGAGCTGATCAGGCAGCAGGAGGAGATCCGGGCCAAGGAGCTGTACCTGAGCCTGAAGCAAGCGCAGCAGCACAGCCAGCACAGCGACGATGACCGCGAGTGGGAGGAACAGTGTGAGTACAATCACCTGCACAGCATTAACGTGTTTCTGAAAGCAAATAAAAGGACACTTGTACAATGGAAAAGGTGTGGCCAAAAATTGTTTCTGCCTGGAGCAATACAAAATGCTGTGTTATTTTGGTGGGTATTGCCAACTCAAWATTGCAAACAGAAGTTTCATATTTCTGAATTCGTGTCAATGCCTTATAGAAAATTCTTTGTGTAYGATTACTGAGATCATTAAGTTTTATCTAATGTACTTAATTAACAGTTTTGGCTTAGTAATAATAATTCAGGACACAGTTATTTTGACAGCTTGTCTTTAGCTATCTTTGAAGAGGTAAAATCTGTCTTCATCAGTATTTTAATTGCTTCCATATGGCAGTGGGGTGAAGCTATGATATCAGTGCTGAAACTTACTTCATTTCAGAAGATTACAGTAAATCATACTTAGATTGTTGCTCTAAAAAAACCACCAGAGGATGATGATGATGATCTCACTCTATGGAGGTGCTGTTCCTTTTTAGATAGCCTGAAATTAATTACAATTATGATATTCATAAATAATTTAAWTTTTTTCTTGTGGTTTTTAAAAGCTTATAAGGAACAGAATGATTAKATTATTATATAGATATATACATTTATACTGTAGATAAGTAAAGGCCCACATTATGAATCAATTTCAAAATATACAATGAGTTTATTTTATGGTTTTARTCATCACTTCATTAATTCTTGAGGACTAATTACTGAAGTGCTATTACCTGGAATTGATCTGATGGTGAATCATTCTCTACAAGATGAATTAAATCTATATGATACACTCTGCCATTTTCCAGGCTCATAACAGGTTATGTTAATTTTGATCAATAAAACCTCTGCATATTACACTGTCAATAAAGAGAAGGTAATTATTTCCTGGAGAATTACCTAAATCCAGGTGTACATGCTTATATGGAAAAAAACCCTAACTTTTTGTATTTTGGGTATTAAGAGCAAAATGAGTTGGGGGAAAAGTAGCCCTTTAGTTTTGCAGAAAATCAGCATCAGCTGGCAACACAGCACAGAGGATGGTGTTATGTACCTTAGCATTTCTTTGATGGTATGTAAGGAAAGAAAATACATTTCAACCATGTTGTTAAAACAGAAATATTAATCCAGCTTACATTACATTGAAATGGGCAATRAAACAAAATACTACAAACACTACTAAAACMAGGTATCATTTTCTCAGTATTGCATTAATGAGGTAACTGATGTTTTAAATTGCTGCTTCTGTTTTCTTGAAGAATGCTGTTTGTGCAGGGATAGACATCAAAAATGCAATAGAACAGTTATGGGAGAAGGCAGAGAGAAAAAGGAATAAGCTGTGAAAGGTTTTGACCATGACTTCTGTGATGGTATTTTTGGTCTGTTGAAACATTGAGACTGCATCCCATGCTGGGGACATTCTGCCACCAGTACTGTTTCCTTGTGAAAGCTTTGGAGAGTTCTGCATGCTCTGAAGGAGTTCTGTCACTCCAGTGTGTGTCTCTCAGTACCTGTCCCCATGTCCAGAGGGTGACCAAGGCCAGCTCAGTGGTTCCCAGATGCTGAGTTTGTCACCAGCCCCTTCTCCTCGCTGGTGGCACCACAGCTGGGTTTGCAGCCTGCTGTAAATGCTGTGCTGCCCGAGTTATGCTGTTATCAGTAATTGATTTAGCATTAAACTAACTGCAGACTAATGACTAGAGTGTATCATATCCTTGTTTATCCTCTTATGCTTATCTCAGGGTCTCAATTTATCCCAGTTGGTTTGAGGGCTTAGAGCTGTGCTCCATTAGCAAATAGGTGTGACAGCTGAAGATAGGAAGATGCAGTTTTTAATGCCTTATCTGAGACCAGTTCCTGGCTGGTKTAGACTATGCTATCAAACTTTGTATTGAGCTTGCTCCAGGCATATTCACATCTTCCATTTCCTTAACTGCACAAGCCAAAATGTGCAGGAGACAGTCAGTAACAAATATTTGGRAGTGAGAACATCTGAAATTGCTACGGAATTAATTAGTACCTCAGGTTCACCAGATTTGTMATTTTTTATTTCAGTTCCAAATATCTTTTACTTTTTATGGTAACCCCTCTATTTTGTCTGCAAGTATTCCTTTGGGACACTGAGAGGAAATTTAGTGAAGCTAGGCAAAGCTATTCACCAGTCAGCTTTTCTAAGTAATAAATAAATGCATGAATGCATAAGAGAATTCCAAGCACATGTAATATCTGCATTTTTTGCCTCTACACACCTGCAGTGGAAATCATTGCCTGTTAGGAGCAAGTCCAGGCTCCTTTGGGTCTTCCCTTGTTGGAGTGAGCCCTGTCCCACTGAGCTGGGGGTCAGTGCTGCCAGGGAGCAGTGGTGATAGAGCAGAGAATTGTAGCAATGATATTGATGGYACTGCTAACTTGTTTAGTAGATGGAATTCAGATTGTGATGAGGATTCATCTCTCCTCATCCCATTATCCCTCAGCTGTTTATTGCCAAGGCAATAAGCAAAGTGTTGCTAATATTAGTTTTTGTTGTTGGGTTCAGTTTGCTTCTGCTGTTTGCCAGGGAACAGTAATGGCCCATAGAACTGCTGTGTTAATTGAAAGACATGATTTTAGTGCTTTTTAGTATACTAAATGTARAATAACTTGGGAAATCGGTGCTAAAAGGGAAAAATTATGTTGTAAGAGCAATTATAGCCTTTGATTTTATGTAACAGATACATATATAGGGGTGTTTTAGAGGGCAGTTCYAAGTTAATAAGTGGAACAGGTATATTGGTTGGCAAATTAAAAGATGAATAGCAGAAAAGGCTTATTCAGAGAGTCTACTGTTCAAGCCTTATTTTTTGAAACTGAGAAGCAAGAACTAAGGCTAAGCTTGGACAGCAGAGGGTACGTATTCTGATTAGTTTGGACCTCTCTGTGGGCTTTTAGGTTTCTAGTGTATTTAAGTGTGACCWCTCTCTGTGAAACATAATAGGAAAAACTGTAGCATGAATATTCATCTGATTGAATTAATGGCATTTTGTTAATACACTTACAAACCCCTGTGAACTGCATCAGGCAGGGAAATGCTCAGTACCATCTGATCAGCTTTATTCATCTCCTGAAAAAAATATTCCAGTAAAAATGTAGACAGAGATAAGTGAGTTGGTCTATTCTTATGCCTTTCCCCAAGCACCTACTTTTGGTCTTTCTTGGAAGGAGGATACCAGGCTGACTCATTATAGCTTCTTTTATATTATTATATTTTTATGTTCTTCTACAAATGTGTCTATGAATTTATTTTCGTCTGACTTTAAAAGGAATTCGTTTGGCATTTCTCTTCGCCAGAAATTCAAGTGAGTTTACTGGCAGGAGAATATGATAAAACGCTGAATTTTAAAGTGACTGGTCCCCAGTTCAGCTATGCATTTACTAAACAAGTGCTCAACCTTAAGTATGTGCCCMTGAACTCCAATCTCATAGTGCATTGCTGAATAGGAATGGGATTATTCCTATGATTTCAGATAAGAAGATTGCTGAACTGAAGTCATATTGCAGGGTATCTGTGGGAAGTTATTTTCCAATTAGGAAAGGAAAAAAACACTCTGTGATTTGCATGTGCACTCAGAAAATCTGAAATTGGATTTTATCTATTAGGTAGTAGTTTTGAATAGCTCATAAACAAGCTTCCAAAAATTTTAACAGAGGGAAAGCTAAAACAAAATAATTTAAAAATTACAATGCATATTCATAGCATGTTTGTGTTTTTTTTCTGCTTTCACACATCTGACTGTAAATCRAAGCTCTTCAAAAGCACAAAATAGATTATATTAAATGGTGGGTTCSTAGTTTTTCACAAATTATTTGATGAAGTTCAGCTGCAGCACAGTATGAATTAATCCTCATCTATATAAAAAGAATTGACATTAGAACTTTGCCAGGACTGCTAACAGGGATTTCCCAATTCTAAGAAAATATAGAAGACAGTCTTGCAAAAGGMAGCTTAGGTTAGCCTAGAGAAAGAAGAGATAGTCATAAATTGTTTGGGGAAAACAAGGCGAGCTGGAGCTGACCCCCCTGGGATCCAAAGAGCCTCTGCACACCCAGCTTTGGGGTTTGCTCTTTGTTATTGGGGAATGTTCACACTGCAGGGCACAGAGGATGTCTGAGCTGCCTTTGAGCTGCCCATTTCTAGCAATGACAATGGATAATGATGGCAGCACAGGCCTGTCTTGAATGTTTTACCAGGAGGGTTTTCCAGGAGGGTTAGGTCACCCATTTTTGGCCTTCTCTGCCAAGGCTACAATCACAGTGAGACAAACCTCTCTGAGCAGCTCAGGCATTTCTGCACAAGCTCCAGTTCCCCAAGGGCAGCAGTTTTCTTCATTTTATGAGCACTGAAAGATGTACCTGTTGTTGGTATCACCAACAACAACAACAAAAAAAAATCTGGTCTTGGATCTGGCCTTACAAGCTTGACAAACTCCTCATTTCCCCATCTTGTCAGGCCTTACATTATTCTGTAAAACAAACAAACAAACAAAAAAAAAAAAGAATGTGAAAGTTTTTATGTGTAGTAATTCTTTATGGTAGATATATGGATCTGTTGTGGTGATTCAGAGATTTTAAGTTTTTTTTCCAGATATCTAGTCTTCCTGCTGAGAATATTGACTGACTACACTACTGGTGTTTTGCACRGGGGTCATGCCAGAAGTAAATTTAATGTAAAAGGACAGCCAGCTAAGAAAAATAATCTGTTTCTACCGAAGACAGTACTAGAGGTCCTGTCTCCTTTTACTTATGACCAGAAAGGCTACGATGTGTCTCAAAATACAAATTATATAGAACTTTGTCTTCCTCTGTCTTAAAATACTTGTGCTAGACTTGATCCAGACATAAAGTTCTTCTTCCAAGTGAGCTCGTTCAAAGCCACAAAGAGAAATATGAATAGTCATGAAATTCTATTGTAAAAAAAAAACCTGCTGCAGAAATACATCCAGATTTACCTTCAGACTTGGAGTGACTTTCTCAAGATAGATAAATTTGTGGGAAGTGTCAGTATGGGAGGCTGGTTCATGTGGTGTWTATCATTTTGTCTGGGGTGTAATGAAAAAACCTTTCTGTAGATTTCTGATTGTGATGGCTTTATCCCCAATGCTATTTCCAGTCACAAAAAAAAAATGGTTATTGGTGCCAGTGACTTTGATTAATTGCCCACAAAGCCCCTTGACCAGTCAGAGATTAAAAGAAACTTAACATAGAAATGCAGCTCCACACTTGAAGCTGTACTCGACATCTTCTAAAGGTAGAGCAAGCAGAGAGATGGTTTTGGGAATAACTATGAGGAAGAAGTTGAGAGAAAATCAGGACTCCAGTAATAAGAGAAAAATTATGAAGAGATCCTATGCATCCATATGATCAATGATACAATTCTTAAGATGCCTCAGCTGGGAAATTTCAATAAAAATTCTTCATAACGTGAAAGAGACGATTCTGTATATAAAATCTAACAACCTACATGCAGCCTTCCCTATGTTTATGTGTATCCAAACACGTGTGGGTATGTACATAAATGCAAACACACACACACACAGGTAAATGTTTGCATAGAGAAGGCTGCATCAYACACACTTCCAAAAGGTTTTTTGAATGTTCATATTTAGCAGCTGCAAACTATGCTACCTCACCCCATACTTTTGTGATCAGAAGTTTGATAGTTTGGGAAAATGCAGTCTGGGTCTCTGACTTCTCATGATACAAGTTTTTTGTCTAGCAAAAACATAGTAGGAATGCCTACTGAAGAGAGTGAGGGACGTGGGGCATGAAGATAKCTTGCCTTTCTCATTGCCAGGCAGCCTGGTACATCAGTAGAAAAGAATCCCAAAAAGCTCCAGGTGGTCTGCCCTCAATCTGGATATTGGGATGTGACACAGTTGTGGGTTTCTGGATGTCTTGCAAAGTCACATTGCACTCATGTTCCTTGTGTTCTCCTTGTGTTGCAAGCACAAAGTTTGTGTTTAAAGTGACCATTATTGAGTGGCTTTATAAGGGAAAAAACCCCAGAAATACTTGAGCCACTGAAGCAGTACAGGTAAATGAAATTATCTACCCTTAAAAATAATGATGTGTAAGATAAATARTGAAGTCTGTTACTTGTGTTTCCTGCGCTGTACATTTTTTTGTTACTSTTTAGCCAAAACTGCAGGGTAGGTAGTTAAGTGGAACTGAAATTCTGCCAGTTRTGTACATGTGAAACATCTATGACTCGTTTATGATGCTATCTTGATGAGCTTTTACTCCTGAATGCCTTTCTGCTTATGATAATATTATATAAAGGTTTTTCCTCTTTCCCTATTTACCCACAAGGTTTTRTTTCATTTCATTTGGCTTTGAGTGCTTTTATTTCTTAATTCCAWTAAACCTTCTCGGAATTTGGACAAATCCATTTATAATTCTGCTTGCTTTAAATTGGGAGTGTAAACCAGAGGGACGCAAACAGCCTAATGAAATGCAGCTGTCTGGTATTATATCCTGCATTCCTAGTCACAGGTACCATCCCAGGGGAGCAGGAAATGGTGTGTGCTCTTTATGGACTGAGTATGATCTGAGACAGGATAGTCATGGCAGGATTGATAATTGCTCCTGGAGGCAATAGCTGAGTTCTTTAATATTTGCTTCACTGGATGTTAAAGGTTTGTTTTGCACTGGAATACTTTCCTGCCTGCAGTTATTTGTGACTCAGAAACATCATCCAAATGTGGCTTCAGGCACCAGGAAAGAGCTGCTAGATGATGAATATTTGCAGTAGAATTTTTGGTGCATTTAAGTTATACCCTGTCAAAGGCAGGATTGTTGGAACATTAATTTTAAAATGAAGAAATTTTAGTGAAAGATGCCTGACCTGCAGTGGCCAGAGCAGCAGTCTCATTTCAGGTTGCAGAAATGGGTAACTATGGTCAGTGCCATTGTTTGGTGTATATTAAACCTTCCAGTCAAAATTCTGGTTCTTCATATGCAATTTCAGAGACTTAAGTGTGAGACAACCCATCCACAGCATCAGCATTCYCTTTCTAATGGCTGTTCATTTATCCATTGTTACGGAAACCATTTTTACACTGCAGTTTTTGACTTGGGGACTTCTGTGGCTAGAAGTGCATGACAAAGATAGCATTTGCCTTTCAGAAAGAAAACAGCACCGAAAAAGTGAAACCTATGTGTTTTTATAATTGTAAATTTTGGGAGTTAACCCATCAATTGTAGTTATGTTCACAGTGGCAAAGAACTCTGTAAAACACAGACTTAATTTTAAGCAGTAATTAACRTCCTTTCTTGAAACAGAACTTGGTGCACTGCCAGGGGAAAAGATGTCCCCAAGCAGAATTTCTTTTATTACAGCCAAAAGAAGTGTCAGATTTWATCACAACATGTAGAGGCTCAGTTATTGCCAGGAGTGATCAGATCATTAATAATTTGAGACTTCTTCTAGTGGTGGGCCTGCGTTGGAAACATCAGGGAAGTCATCCAGGTCTATGCTTTGGTAAAGTGGTATAATTTATACACTCTTAACCCAGATCCTGTAGGAATAAAGCAGCRGGGTGAATTGCTGGGTGTGTTTCTAAAGGCTGTGCTCCTGTTCCTTCCCCCAGTGCGCCGCTCCAAGGCTGCTGACGAGGAGAGGAGCCACAAAGCGCGCAGAGCCCGTGACGAGTACCGGCGGCAATCGCTGCGCGCCATCCAGAAGGGAAGGGTGGCCGGCCTCAGCCATCTGTTCCAGGGCACAAACCTCAGCAACGATCAGGAGATCAAACTCAACAACAGCAGCGCCAGTCCTTCGCTGCCTCTGTCTGCAGCGGCCAGGTTGGTTTGTGCTGGAGAGATTTGGGAACAGTTTTCTGTTGAATTGCTCCCTCTTCAATCCCCACCATTTCCACAAGCTATTCTTCAGTTTTTCCTCAATCTTGCTGTTTCATGATGATCAGAAAAAGAATGTTTAAAGGGAAAGAAAAACAGATTGAATGCAAAGTAAATGCCATTTATTTTTCAGTCAGATTTCTTAGAATTCRCACAGAGATGAGGCCTTGAAACAAAAATATGAGATCAATATGCGAGGCTGTGATAGAGAGAAGTCAAACAGAGAAATTCCTGGGCAAGTCTTAAGCCTCAAGCCTCAAACTGCCTCCTGCCTAACAGCTCCTTTTTTTTTTTTTTCACAGAGAGCAGTCCTAAGCTTCAGGAGGTTTTAGTTTTTGGTGGTTTTTTTCAGGCAAACCCAATTGTCTTTGGTATTTCTTTCATTTGATTTTTCAGCTTAGTGGTTTGTGTTTGGAGACACAGTATATAGCTGATTCTGATTTAGTTTCTTGCTAGCGAAAGGCAAAAAAAAGGTTTGCTTGTCCATATTTACATTGAAATAAAAATAAGGTGGAAAAGAAAAGCTGCTGACTGAAATGTCCATTGTGATAATTGTTYTTCAATTTAAGTTCTGTAAGAAAATGTTTAAGGTGCCATTAAAAATATAAAAATGATAACACTGTGGTTTCCATAAAACCAGAAAATAATTTCAACAGATTTTAACAGGTTAAAGTGGTTCAGTGAGTTTTACTGTACTGAAGTTACATTGACCATTTTGCAGCTGTATGCTTTGCAAATATGTGAAGACAGATTACTATTTCTGTTKTCCCTTGTTTTCCTACGCTGCTGATGCTCTCTTTCCGTGCAGTAAGGTCTGGGAGCGCCCGTCCCGGCCCTTCTCCCGAGATGTCATCATTCGCTGGTTCAAGGAGGAGCAGATCCCTCGGCGGGCTGGCTTTGAGAGGAACACCAACAGGATTGCTCCRTGGTTCCATGGTAATACCCTGATCCCTCATTTTGTGTGTGACAGAGCTGTGAGCATCTGCTCAGGAAATGCATCGTGCCAGCTCTCAGCCCAAAAAGCAAAATCTGCTGCCATGGTGAARCCGAGTGCCTGTTAAAACAAGGCTTTTGCATCTTTCCTATTATTAGCATATGATTTATTTTTTCTGATCAAGTAGACTAATTTGGGAGTCATATCACCAAAGTTTTTTTCAGGAATATTTTGGCCAAAATATACTTGCTGCAAAATAGCAAGCCAAGCAAGAGTACTGAGACAAAGATAGGGTGAGAAGTGCTCCAAAATTAAYTGGCAAATGCTGCAGTGATATGGTCTGTGGATGACTGACATTCAAGTTTTTGATTTACCTGATTTCCAAGAATGAGTTGAACTCATATATCTTGAATCCCTSATACACTTCATAAACTGGGGTAACATTTTTTATTTCTTGCTTTCTTCTGCAAACAAAAATTAATGATTTTTTTTTCCTCAAAAATAATTGAGAGGGTATAATTTTAGGCAATCTTTGTGAAATGGGAAATGTGCAGATCCAAAATTTGCTGTCTTATCTGCTGGAGTTGCTAGCATCTCTGAGACTTTTGCTTTGTATAGTGTTTGCTGAATCTTTGATATAAAATYCACAGGTAAGACATCTTATTTTCATAGATATTAGCAATGATCTTTATATTCAGTATTCTTAAACATCAAAAAAAAAAAAAGTTTTGGCTTAAAAGCTGACATAATTCAGGGATTAACAAGACTTTAAAGTTAAATCTCAATTTTTTTATCRCTGCTGCTTTTGATGAGTCTATTGCTCTGTTCAAAGCACTAAGCTGACCCTCATCTGATTCATGATTCTCTGAGCCTAAGATGAAGATGTGTGGGCGTTCTAAACTGAACCAGGCAAGGAAGATTTCTGAATAAGTTTAGTGTTTCATGTACTTCAGATTTCTTTGTGTGGTACACAAATCCTTATGTGTTAAAAGACATCAACAAGCTGCCACTTTCATTGGCTTAATTAGTCAGAGACACTGAAGTCAGTCATGTATAGCTTGTAAATGCTAAATACTTTAATTCCTTATGAACAATGATGCAGACAGTGTTTGTTTTCTTAGAGAAGACATTTGGTGTGGTTGCTTTCTGAGAGACAAACTGATTAAAATTTCATTTGTGGACATTTGCCAGAAGCACTTCCAACCATGATCCTTCTGTATGGTCCAACAATAAATGTTTTCCCTGTGAGTGGGAAGTTCACATCCATATCAATCACCGTGAGTAGTTATGAACATGATTTACATTTAAAGAAGTGTCTGGGTTTGAGCCAGTGCCTGTGCAGTCTTTGTACTAATTTGGGTGCCTTTTGGATTAGTCTGTTAGTCATTGCAAGAATCAAGACATTCATGGTCATTCTTGAGTTTCTCAGATCGTGCTGTTCATGAGTTGAGARCAGTTCAGTTGAGAAACTGTGACTGCAGTGACTTTTATGAAAGTGAGCAAAGTGCCTCATTTATCCTCCTCTCACTCGAGGAGCCTGACAAAGATAATTAAGATACACTCCCAGCCTAAAGCTCTTTCTTTGCAGGGAGCTATGTGAGTGCTATGTGAGTACCTATTTGCTGCATTAATTGTTTTGGCTTCTTCAGCTCTGGTCTGATTAACTGTCACGATTGTAAATTATGAGCAGCTCAGCTGCCTTGTAACTCCTCTGAAGTGGTGGAATCTAAAGAGGTTATTACAGGTACAATAATCAGTGTTTGTTAGCTTTTTGTCATGTCTGTTACATTTTGTAATGCCCACAAACTGAGGAAAACCAAACAGAATCACAGARTATGCTGAGYWGGAAGGGACCCTCARGGATCAWGCAGTACAGCCCCTGCCCCTCCTGTTATTTTATATTGTATTCAGGGAAAAAGGACATTATCTAGCAGAAYATATTTAACTTGTATAAGAAATTGGCAAATTTCTTAATTTGAAAGCCAATGAAATTTGAAAGACAAATGAAAGCCAATTCTGCAAAGCCAAGGGTTACAGCTGACAACTCAAGCCACTGGGGCCGCCTCAGGCATCTCCACACAGGTACAGTCAGGTCCTTCACATCCTTGAGCAAGTTCTGTTTTTTTTATATCTAGTTTTGGACCATAAAATGGTCCAAATGGAGTTTAATATTCTGCCTCACATTAAGGRCTTTTTGAATGCAAAGCACTAAGACCAGCACTGAAAAAGTAGATATCAGTTTATTACAGAATTATATGTTTTTTTCCAGGGTCAGTAGACCTTGGCTTGTCTGCTTTGACTGTCAGGCTGCTCAGCTTTTTAGCTGAAGTTAAGCATTATCTGAATCACTGTCTTCAAATTGTACTGTGGACATYCAATATATTCCAGTTAAACAGATGAAGGTTTAGGACAGATGTGTTTAGCTAAGGTAGCAAACTACAAATAATGATGCAAATGTCTTTATCCTCATATATTTGTCTTATTTTTCACTTTAAGTCATCAAACCAATCTGGATTCTGTTTAAAAATATACATTGTCTGGGGCATTTTCATGGTACATGAAACAAGGGAGCATATGGCATGCTTAATGTACCTGAAGTTTTGCTTTTGTCTTCATTTGAAGCATCACTACAAAATATTTCATTTGAAGCAGGGTAGTAAAATCTGTAGTCACAGGAAGTCTTTCAAATCAGAGTATTTCTTTCTTTATTCACAAAAAGTTACTTCTTAAATGAATATCAGCTTTAACTTCATCATCTMTATTTATCTCTTGAAATTGTCATCAGTTATCTAAATTCCAGCAGATGTTTTTATCTAATTTTAAATAGTTTTTACTGTTTTCTTCTTGWTTAAAAAATTAAAGTTAGAAACTCTGTAATTTGCTTCTGAATTCTGGATATGAATTCAATTATTTTTGCTATGTTTGAATAATAGATCCCTGCCAAAAACCAGTTCATTCACCCTTCCAATTGAGAATTATTTAAGTTAATAAAGAAAAAAATGTAGTATAATTTTCAACGTTTTTTATGAATTAAATCTATTTTTAATCCTGTCATAAATTGTAAAATTGTATCATTTTCATTTGGATTGGGAAGCAATGAACCTTTTTTAAGGTAGCTTGTGCCCACTTTCTGGCCACAGTGCAATTATTAAGCTCAATTCTCAAACTGTTAAAGAAGAATCACAGCAAGTGATTAAGGTGCCTTRGGATTTAAGGTAATCATTGTCTATTTCTTTTGTATTATTTAATAGTTGTCTTTGGTTTGAGTGAAAAGAAATATTATTCAATTTTTTTACTATGAAGACTAAGAAATTGGTCTAAATTTCATTGAAGGTAACTTCTGTATAGTGTGATAACTGTAAGGTTAGTAATTGTATTCTGATTTCCTGCCTGCTAGCTGATGAATATAAGCATGTGAATCAAACCTACAAGGACATCCTAATGTGGTGCCAGTTGTATGAAAGGTTTTTGCTAATCKGAATTAAGAGTGTTCTTTGCCAAGATCCCATCTGCTGGGAAAGCAGGGAGGTAAATCGGTGTTTAGGATGGGAGAGCTGTCTCTCAAACAGGMTGGAAAGGGAGACACATTCATTGTTTAGGCCAAGTTTAGCTTTGAACTGGATTTTTCTTTTCAAACTTTTCTGGATCCATGCCAATAAAGGGAAAATTATCCATTCCAACCAGTTTGTTAGCTGTTAGTTTTGATGGGTTTTAACTTCAGGTGTTAGACTTTTCACCCTCATGTATTTAATTCTGCATTTGGTTCTTTTCCATTCTGAACATAGAAGTGTTGGTCTTTGCAGAGGGAGTTGATTTGAAATATTTGCCCAGCTTTRGCTGAGAGCAATGTTTTCTGATTGTTGATGTTTATAGACGATGTAACAGGGATCTCTGAGGTGTGTGGTGAGCACAGGACAGAGTTTATTCATTCCTGGCTGTGGGTGGCTGTGTGTGTGTTTGCCAAGCACCTGCTGTAGCACTATCAGGTCTCCACTGGCATTCAGGTTCAAAGGAAGGTTCAGAGGCTGATAGCACGGATCTGGAAACATGAGGTAGATGCCCTAAAGGTTGGACCTCTAAAATGTAATTGCAGTAGCATGGATCCTATTGTGGAGAAGCATTTTCACAGGGGGAGTCAGGGTGGGGTGCAGTTAAGGGAATGGGGAGCTGTGGAGGAGCTGAGCAGAGCAGATCAAAGGATGGATTAAAAGAATGCTGARAAAAGCAGAAGCTGAGTAATCTCCGAGGTGAGGGAAGCCAGGGAAGAAAATTTTCAGTTTAACAGGAACATGTGGCAGATTTTTACAGATCAAGGTTTAACTTCAGATGGCTAACACTGTTTTCAGGAAGGAACTTGTTTACAAGAGGAAACTCTAGCACACCAAAATAGTGATAATGGCTCTGCAAATCAAGTGTTCTCAGTAAAGGAGTCAAGACTTAATATTCCTGTAAGTCTATTAATTGAGAGTCCTTGAACAGCAGTGAGGGCACTGGGCATGTTCATATAACTGAACTGTGAGAAATAATATACCTTGTATTGTAATATWTACAATATTACACCAAATTACATTGTCACCACATAGTCAAACATGAGAAAATGTGTTGAGAAGTGCAGTTAGGCCTGAGTGGGGAGGCTTGCTCTGCTGTCACCTCCAGTGTCCTCATCCTGTGGTTACACGGAGCACAGCAGTTTCCAAGGCTGCTGAATTCAGGCACAGAATGATGGTGATGCAGCATGAATGAGATCCCTCTGGTGTATTACACAGAGGGGAGCCTGGAAAATGTGTCTTGCATTTGAAAGACTGAGATAGGCTCACTGGAGTTTTTTACCATTGCCTTTAAAGAATAACAATATTGTAATTTTACTTTAAAATAATTATAGAGCAGTAATTTTATAATGTACACATGGAGGTTTTATTGGGGCACCATACATGAACCAGTTTGTCCCTGCAGTTTTATATATATATATATATATATATATATATTCTCAGTATGGCTGGAT